TGTTTGTCTATTCTATTAATAGGGAGTGGGCTTAAATAGGTCAGTGTGGTTTTATAGTTAAGAAAGTTCTTGTTAATGATGTTTAATGAATGTAGTTTGACCAATTAGAGATGTTGGAAAATTACAAGATGTTTAATTCAAATTTGTTCCAGGCATTTGTTCTGATGAAATTGGCTTGTTTAAAAGGAATTAATGTAATTATTGTAAAAATGATACTGTCTCCAGAATTATGTTTAACTGAAATCTATAAACGGAAGCTGAATTTTCAGTGGGCATGTTGGCATTTTATATATTTATTATAATTATATAAACAATACATTATAATTGATAAAATTAATTAAGATTATTTCAGTATTTGTGTAGATTATCATTATTTAAAAAAAATATAAACATTTATATGATGGATTTTGAGGGATTTATTTTTGTTTTTAAAAGAAACCCTCTTTCGGTGTTTTTTATAGTTAACTAAAACTAAAACTATTTAAGAAAACATTTTAAATAAACAACTTAAAATAAAACAAAATATAAATATTAGATGAAACTCAAACTAAACAAAAATTTAGAAACGAGAATGAAATAAGATTTGAACAAGCTGAAATAAAAATAAAATATTTGAAAAATGACAAAATGCACATAACAATAGAATAAAAAGACTTTTCATTTTTTAAAACTTTTTACTTTTAAAAATATTTTCCAAAGTTTTAATGTGAACTGCTTATAATAATAATTATATATATATATATATATATATATATATATTAAAAATCAACCACTGGGGCATAAAAGTACGACATAGGTAAAAAAAAAAAAAAAAAAATTTGAAGAGATGTTTTTTTTTTTTTTTTTTTAAGTGTGCAGTCTTTTCTGTCTCATGACCTCTCTGCCAAAACACAATTGGTCAGCATATGGTTTGATTTTAGTTTGTTGATATTTTCTCGATTTTGCAGTCTACATGCTGAGCCTTCATAGCCAACAATTGAATCAGTTCAAAATATTCAAATCAACATAACCGTCTTTTACATAGCGCCCAAAATATCTCCAGTGTGCTATAAGGAATACTCATGCCAAGAGATGTCTAAACCCACACAGATCAAAGAGTCTCTCTCTTTCGACAAAGATGTCCAAAATCCACAAGTTTTGTATTTATCTTCAGATGTGTTTATGTTAATACAATAGCATGGGTGAAACACAATTCCTTCCACACAAAAGTAAGAAAGACATGTTTCCTGTAATGAAGGTAGGTTGACCGTTTGGGGTCAGGAAAGAGACGTAAATTACAGTGAGAGAAACCAAAACAGACGTTCACTCGGTTCTAACAGCAGTGACCTGAGCTTAATCGCCGGTGTGTGTGTGTGTGTGTGTGTGGATTTATCATTGGTGGGAGTGGGAGAGATTGAGGATATGTTCATAACAGTGAGTGTTTCAGCGTTTCTGTGTGAAGGAAGGGTCAGAGAGGTGGAAAGTTAATATCTGTCAGATGTGAAGAGCTTCACTAAAGGGAGGGATCTGGAGGCATGGAGCATTTGTTAATTATTCGACCTCCAAGGCACTTGAGTCAGTTTAATTCAAACTCCATGAAGGTTGAGTACAGCGTTGACCTCGAGATCAACCCTGAGCTGGAAACTAGGAAGGATTGTCATGACAGCGAAACAAAAATTCAATATTCAATATATTTTAAAACTAAAGGAATAACAACTCATATATTTATTTTTTTAAGTTAATATATGTACTAAAAATACTATGGAATGTAGCAAATGTTCTTGTGAAGTAAAACAAGTTTTTCCAAATAATTATTTTAAAGTGAACAGTCAGAAATGAAGAGCGTAAATAAATGAAGAACATTTAAAGATTTATTTTCTCCCTTTCTCGTTATTAGTTGTTTAGTTAAAGTGACTCTATTATGCCTGCTATTATTCCGACTCGAATGCCAGCCTATGGTCTTCACTGGCTGCCCGTGAACAACATCTATTTTAACCCGCCCTCAAACACTGTAGTTGTAGCCGAGGCCTGGTAGAGTTTGGTTTGTGTTGTCGAGAAGACGCTGTTTTCTGCGCTGCGAAAGCAAATCCACTTAGCATGCACTTTCAAAGGATGAGGACTCGGGCTCGAATTGATACGATAAAAACCGACACCATCGTTACTCTTCATATCACTACACTGCTGAAATTCAGATATTTTAATAGGCGTTTAGCATTTTTTAAGCGGCGGACCAATCACAACAGACTGAGCCATCTGACCAATCACAGCAGAGTAGACCCTTGGAAAGGTGGAGGTTTTTTTTTTTTGTCAACTTGGTACCAAAGTACTAGTACTTTTGACACCCGTATACAAAATTATAGTTTTGCAACTCTTTATGCCGCAATGATGTTTAACATAACCTAGAAGATTTTGAATCTAGATCTGATAAAGTTTTGGAAGTTATTAGTGCTCCTTTGAAGCCAAAAGGGGACAAAAATATTACCATGGCATTTGTTTGACATTTTTTTTGTGAGTGATTCACCAGTTCGCCTGTTAAGCTGATGCCATTCTTCAGTGTTCAGATCAGGGTTTGGGTGGGAAACAATCCCTATGTTTATGAAAGGCTAACCACCGCATGGATCAAATGTTATGTTTTTATTTGTGTTAATCAAATGGACTGTAGGTGGAAAGAAATGTCAGGAATGAATGGATTAGGAGACGGAGGTGTTGAATGGAACGGAAGGGTGGAGGGATATTGGGCGAGGCTCGTCCTGTGGGGTATAAACGCAACGGCGAGTGCCTCTTGAATCCTGCCAGTTTTGAGTGCGTTCATTGTTTACACAGGTTCAATTACACCTCATTTGTTGGTGTCATGCATGCAAGGGCCTTTGCCGGGAATCCATTGAAGTGTTGAAAAGAAATAAGTTATAAAAACAAAGTAATTGTTCCCGTCAGCTGAGACGTCTCCCCCGGTGCCTTCTCATATTTTTTACCGATAGTGACGTGTGACATTTAATTTCCTGATGGAGATTTGTCTGTGTGTGTGATAACAGAGGAGATATTAGGAAACTCTGCTGTGAACTCAAACCCTTAAACTCAGACTTACTTGCTTTCCAGGCAATAGATTTGTCAGAGCACACACACACACACACACACACACACACACACACACGCACGCACGCACGCACGCACGCACGCACGCACGCACGCACGCACGCACGCACGCACGCACGCACACACACACACACACACACACACACACACACACACACACACACACACACACACAGTCACATTGTTTTTCAACAGCATGTGACGCTTTATGGGTATTGTAACCAGATGGCGCCTTGCTTAATAACTCTGTTAAGCTGTGTGTTCACTGCACTATTTACCATTTATCCGGTATGGGATATTTGGCAAATCCAGTTACAGTTTTTCTCAATTGCTAAAACACTAAAACCCATTGGCTGAACACAGTTCTCAGTTGCCTGAACTCATTTAGCTAATTGTGCAGTCTGTTGTCAATACCTTAAACTATTTCACATGGCAAAACACAATTTGCAGATCTTACTTAGACTTTTCAGCAAAACGCTAAACACATTCTCATTCTCAAAACATATTCTGCACTGTAATGCACACGTCATCCATACTGGTAAACACAAGTGGCAATGATCAAATACAAATAGAGAACAAATGTCATTGATTGAACACAACCACTCAAAATTGATTTAACCTGTTTCAAATGATGCCCAAAGACAAGAAGAAGCACACTGATCACGTTTACTCCTTTGATTTTTGTCCCTTTTAGTATTGTATACTGTAGTACAGTGCATTGTAGGCTGTATACTGTACAATGAACAAATTATATGGCCCCGAACATCGTTACTGTAACAGTACCATTTGTTATAGTACTGAATGCTCAATAGATTTTACTGGTTGCACTTGCAGGTTCATATCAACAAAGAACAAGCATTACAGTATCAAACAATAGAACTGACAAAGGAGAAGTTTGTGAGATGCAGGGCACTGTACTGTAAAAATAGGGGTACAAGGAGGAAGAACAAATAAAATTGCAAAGAGCAAAGCAGAGTAGTAATTTCTGATCAATTTTGCGCTACTATGATGTTTTCATTCATCAAAAGACAATGACGGACAAATATGAAATTTGTTTTAAGATTAAAAATGTACTTCTCCCTGAAATTTTGATGGTACAGTAATGTGTCACGGGTAAGTCTACAAACAGAATAGCCGTCAGTAGATATCTTTCGAGAACTGTATGTTTTGAACAATGTGTTTTCTATTTTTTGGTGTATTGTTTACTGACTGCTTAATAGTGTATATCATTTTGATCACTTTGTCTATGATTTGAGAGCAGTGTTTGATTTTGAACACAAGTAAAACTGTTTTGAGGCGAAAGTTTCATTTTGCAAGAAGAGTCAGAGGTTTTGTAAATAGTGCTTGAAGATGAGGTTTTGTGTTTAATGTTTTCAGAAAAAGGAGCAAGGATTCAGAAATTGTGTTTTAGCAATTGAGAAAAACTGTAAGAAGATGCTGAGATGTGTTAGGCAGAGGGATTGCATAAAGAAAATGAAGCCTATTTGTAGTGGAAAAAAGACACATTTAGCTTAAGGGACATTTAATAGTATTTGTTGCACTAAATTTGTTTTAATAAAAACAAATCATTGGGAGCATGATATTCATTGCTGTGTTCCATGACATTTGTTCACATTTCAACAATCTAAATGTGGATGAAAATAAAATGGTCCTAAAACTTGGCTTCATTTTCTATGATGTATATCATTTCTTAAATTGGAAGTTTCCTTTCATAGTGTCAAAGCTAATGCTAATGGCCTATGAACAAGTCACAAATTTGGAGGAAGTCTGTATTGCAGGACATAAAAAAAGGTTACTTTTGGCTGGATTTGGTAGCTTGAAAACATGCAATGCTGGCTGTTGTGTCTTTTCCCACTCTGTTCCGACTAACATTTGTGCTCCTTTTCTTCTCCATTTCTTTCCTTTCCTCTCTTTTCCGCTGCCCTCAGTTTGGATGTATGGCCTTCAGGACAGTCCAACCAAGTCTGAGGCCTCAGGTAACTGCTTTACATGTGTGCATGCACTGTCACTTTTCCTTTTGCAACTCCTCAATGTGGTAATTTTTCCAGTTTTTACAAGAACGGTTCCTAAAACAGCTCTTGCCCAGAGTCCAACATTAACACTCTTCAAGCGCCAAATGCGAGTCAAAATTGACTTTAGCGAAGACATAAATTGCCATGAATCACCATTTGGCTGATAACTTCATTACGAATTGCAACATAATACATGATATCAATTGCATGGTCTTTTTTGAATTTTGAATTCCATATAATAATAAACATGATTTTTTTAATAAGAGAGAAGTCCAATCATAGGCAACTGGTGTGTGTATGGAAATTGCTATGGGAATTAGCTAAAGAGGCATAAAAGATTGAACTGTTCTTCTAAAACATCAGGATGAAAAACCCTTTATTTTTAAGAGCAGATCTTTCAGGTTTGTGGATTTACATGTGGCTTATAAAGTTTATGCTAGAAGATGAAATATTTATAATAGGTGCTGCAAGGCTATTAGTGCCGAAGAAGACATTCAGTGTGAAAACGGAGGATGTAAAACATGACACGAGAGCCTGTGGTCCTCTCAGCGCTCTCCTGGGAAGTCTTAGAGACGACGGCCTGCAAATAAACATTTCAGAAAAGAATGCACTCCGTTTTCGGAAATAACTGCTGGCGCTCACAGAGCTATAGCCCATGTGGAGTGTGTTTTCACCATGAACATCACACACACCCTACATAATTGGTCAATTCACTGCAAAACTAAGAAAACGCACTGATTATATAACTCATGGGATTTGCTTGTTTAAGTCCTTTCTAAAAACATCAACATGTCAAAATCCAGCTTAAAAATGTGTTTTCTAACTTGTCCCAGCTGGTCTTTAGCTAGTCAAATCAGGTTTTTTTTAGCTGGTCGACCCAGCTTAACAATTTTGAGCTAATACAGCTTGTTTATTGCTAGTCAAGGATTGCCTACCAGCTAATAACCATTTAATGTCCGATTGAGACCAGCAAGAAACAAGTTATCGGACTCTAAAACACAACTACCTGTTTATGATGGATTTTCAGGGGTAAAAGTAACAGTAAACGGAAGCTAATGGAAAGTTTGGAATTAGAACTGTTTTCTTTGTGGTGACTGTCGGAAGGGAAATATATCTGCCATTGGCACAAACAGCGTTAAATGTCAGAAATATATATCACAGTTGACTTCAGCACAACCCGCAAGTATTTGGTTGAGCAATGCAGTATGTTGTCATGTTAGCATGATGTGTGAGGCAGCGCTAATTAGCTTCTTCCATACTGAGGGTGATAGTGACAAGATACAGAACTCCTGCTCTGCTCTCTCTCTTCCCTCCCACAGCGTCGACAGCACCCAACAACTGAACTCAAAGGATTCCCTATAATCCTGATTTAAGAGCTCATGAGTTTTAAAACACATTGCACTAGCAACACAGACAGGCTGTTGGCATCATGCCAGCTTGACAATGAATAAGAGTACAAGACCTGATTGTATGCTAGATTTGTTTGGTACAGAAAGTTTTAATTTGATTCATTTAACTAATCCAGTCCAATTAAATAATATTAATTTGAGAGAATTTGTTAATACACCCTGAATTAATGAGCATCCTTTATCTACCAAGACTGCATGCGCAAATTATTGCCTGTACAAAAAAATACTATCTCACTGCTATGGTACGTAATGATCACTATATTCATATACCATGGTATTACATACATTTGGCCTTTAGAAAATAAAAGAAGAAAAAATGACGCATTGCACATTTGATGTTTTTAAGAACATTTTAGACATTTTTTCCTATTAAAAGCCTCTATGGTCCAGAAGACCACACCATGAGAAAGCAACCACACAGTGTTTTGAAGTTCAAGCACATATAAAGAAACTACAGAAGTAGTTCTTACTGAAGTTTTAGTAACTATATGCAGAAAGTATTGAAATGCACAAGCCAGAAGCGTTTGATGTGTTATACTTGAGATATTTTCATGTTTTCTTTTAAAACATGAAACAGCAATTTCAGCTCATTTTATTGCTGTCATGTTTTTCTGAGTTAAACAGGATATGCAATTAAAAAACAAAACACTACCACTGAAATGTTTGGGGCCGTTTCTTTTTTTTTTTTTTAAGAAGTCTTATAGTAAAAACAGTAATATTTTGAAATGCTATTACAATTTAAAATAACTGTTATATTTTAATATATTTTTAAATGTAATTTATTGTTGTGATGAAAAAGCTGAGTTTCTGAATCATTACTCCAGTCTTCAGTGTCACATGATCCTTCAGATATTATTATAATACACTGATTTGGTGCTCAAATAATTTATTTAATTTTTTATTATTATCAATTTTGAAAGCTGCTGTGCTACTTAATTTTGTTGTGAAAACCACAATAAATTTTTTTGTTTTGTGGATTTTATTATAAATAATTTATACTTTAGTATTGTGAAAATCCTACTTGTCCATTCTACTGATTTGCTCATATGATCATGTGATAGGGCCACTGGACTCTTAAATGGATAGTTACAAATTTAAATTCTGTCATAATTTACTATCCCATTATTTTGGAGATTGAAAGGCCTGGTCCTTATTCACTCTCATTATATGTAAAACAACAACAACAACAAAAAAGGATATTCTTCAAAAAATATACCTTTATGGAATAAAGTAAGTCATACAGGTTTAGGGCAACATAAGGCTGACTAAATAATTACAGCATTTACATTTTTGGCTCAAAGTCATTGATGAAGAAGAACAGGTTAAAGAGATTGTCAGAGGAAATACAAAAGAAAGAGAGAAGGATAGAGTAAGAGAGTGTTGCTTAACCCCAGCTGAAATGCTTTCTTCTTGCGTTTCACATAAACACGGCTTCTCTCTCTTTACTCGGCCCACTCATATGTTTCTATTTAAGGCTTGGAGAGCAGTCTACCCTGATTGGCGTTTTTCTCTCTCCCCGTTTCAGCCAGATGGGAGGAGGGACGGAGAAAGAGAGAGAATTAGAGTGAAAAACGAGAAAGGGAGGGCAGGAGAGAGGGCGGGAGGCCTGTTCTTGCTCGTCTGATGAAGAAAAACTTTCTATTCCTCCACTTGCGAGTCACGTCCCCTACCGTAAACAGCTCTCTCCAAGTCTCTTTTCCCTTCCTAACATCCCTCCCCGTTTCCTCACGAAAACCTTCACTGTATTATGGAGACCCGGCATCACCAAGTCCCTACCGAGCTCTCGAATCCTTGAAGGAAATTTACCTCGCCTTACTTTTTCGTGATCGTTCTTCCCCCCACATTCAAATGCGCGTCCAGCGAGGGTGAAGGTTCGTCTAAATGGCCCGTCGTTGTGGAGCATGCTCAGTCAGCAGGAGTTTGAGTTGCGCTAGGCTTTGGAGAGCGGATGGCGGTGTACAGGGGTCAAGCCGGAGGTCGCTGGCAGGGCAGGGTTGGCGGGGGAGGTGCAGGGATGGCGGGACGGTGGCTGACAGCCTGTTTCTTCCCCTCGTCGGCAGGACTGGACAGCAGTGAGCCCATGGTGCTGGAGCAGTACGTGGTGGTGGCCAACTACGAGCGGCAGGAGAACTCGGAGATCAGTCTGAAGGCTGGAGAGACGGTGGACGTGATCGAGAAGAGCGAAAGCGGTGAGTCCCTTAAGGCAAATTCACACCAAGGATAATAACGATATAGTAACAACGATTCTAAATTCAAAAAGAATAGCACCACACCAAAACCATAATGATAACACAGAGAAATTGTTGGAATCACTTTCAAAATGATTTTTTTTCCAGCTGATGAACAAAACAAAAAAACCATTGACAGCCAATCAGAATCTACCTGACTTTGAAGAGTGCAAGCATTCAAGCATGCTTATAATAAACAAAACTATGTCATGAATTGGTGTGGACGCAAATATCATTACAGTTACTTTTATAGTTATCATTCTTGGTGTGAACTGCCCTTTACTACACACACACACACACACACACACAAGCTAATTAGGTTACCATGTGGTATTTATTGGCAAAACTGGTGTATACACAAACACACAGTCACCTGCAAACGTGAATGCTTTCATATGCTCACGATCCAAATGTTAAGCGGGTCTGTTTTATCTTTCTCGTCTTTTCTGATACATTCTTCCTCTTTGATGTAGAACTCCTCCTTTAGTCTTTGTCCTTAAGATCCCCTGGTTCCCTCTTCTGACATTCCCCTCTCCCTGTAAATCTACAGTCTGGCTCTTGGCCCCACCTGGAGGTGTCGTATGGCCAGTTTTCTTGACGGTTGGTGGGCCTGAACCCCCTCCAGATCTCTGGGATGGAGGCCAGATTGATCTGGAATGTCCATGAGATAGTCATGAGAAGTTTGTCAGTTGGAAGATGTGCTAACACACACACCATTAGAGTTCATGTGGAATGTAGAGATTGACAACAACAATGGGAAGAGCCTTGAGTGTTGTTGGTTTTTTTCCCCCTTTGGTTTGTTTTCCCAGATTAATGTTAATGCTGTAAATGTTTAAACTTAGTGCAAACTTTTCCTGCCAGCATATCTCGTAGCCTTGTACATTAGAGGTTGAGCGCTGTCTCTTCAACTTTGTCTCTAGTCATGTTTGCCAAAAACTTGTTTGCACATCCAGAGAGTTAGCAATTATAAACAACAGGATCTCAAGAACTAGCATCCTTCTGTTGAAAGAAAAAAATGTTTGTGAGTAATCATTTTAAATCAGTGTGGAGGCTTAGGAGGAGTTGACAGGAGTCATCAAGATGAGCAAAGATCCAGTAAACCCATTTGACCTGAGTAATATCATTGAGTAAGACCGTTGTCTACTCAAAGAGAGCTTGACCTCCTGGTTTCAAACATATAATCCTTTGACTAAACTAGTCTAGACTGAGACTAAACTAATCTCAATGGCATTCTCTGTGAGACACTTTAGTTTGTTTGCTGCCTGTTCTATTGATTTTGGCACTGTCTCACCCTAGACTCATCTTTCGGATGATTCAGTCTATTTTGGGGTGCCCGGTTAAAGGTTAATTTTATTTTTTTTAAATGTGTTGTTATAGAATGCAAATATTAAGAGAGATTTTAGAGCAATGGGTCTCAACCTAATTGACTCCAAGGCCCATGTTGTCAAAGTTGTCTAAGGCCCTCTTGTCTAAACTGATAGGTTGGTTATTCTGTTATGATGAAAATAAACTACATTTAACTAATTGTAAGACTTATTAGGGCCATCTTATTTTGGAAGTTTGCTGAGGCCCCCTAGTGGGCCCCTGTCCCTTGACTGAGAACCACTGTTTTAGAAAATAAATGCTGTTTCAAATTATCGCTTTATATACAGTATTTTTGAGCAAAAGAGTGCCATGATATCATACATACACTGTCTTTTCAGAATGTCTAGAGGAAACATTCCTCCTCTTCCATTGGATGAACCTGATCTTGAATACATCATGACCATTATAGAGTAATCAATCCAAAAGTCCTATATCAGTCTGGTCAACACCTCAGACATTTGTTCATTTAGCTTTTATTTTACAATTTAACCCTTAGAGGTAAGACATATAGTTGTAACAATTATATCTATATTAGTGTCCACATAAAGAACTACTGTATAACGTTATATTTATTCTTTAACGTCAGATTTGGGTTGACTGTCAAAGTTGATTTTTTTACCCCGTTAAAAAACAACAACTCCAAAATTGATTTCAAAGAATCCACTGTTCTCTTTTTAAAACCTTGTAGTTAGCATAGTTATCATTCTTTGTGTGAACAAACCTTTACTCTATGCCTTTCTTTTAATGGTAGATTACTGGTTTATTTGTTCAAGCCGAGTACAGATTTTCAGGTACAATGGCTTGTACTCATTGATTCTCACAACTGGACAAGTAATTTAATCACACTAAAGATTCAGAGAGACTCCAGGAATAAGAGTCTTGCTCAGGATGCAGTTGTCCTTGAGTAAGAAACCCTTGGCTTCCTTAGCCACAGTTAAACTCCAGCTGTTTTACAGTGCAGGCAAAGCTTGACAACTTCGCTTGGGTTGGGAAGAGATGAACCACGCAGGGCCACAGGATTAATGAACTTGAGAAACAAAAGCAGAAAATATCTGAATGGGAGAAGATAATAGAATCTAAACACAGTGACAGAATCATTTAAAGGAATGGCTCCCCCCCAAAAAAGAAAGTCATATGTTTGAGCTGTTACGAAAGTGAACAAATGCTGGCGGAATTGTTATTTTAGAAACTGTTCCTTTAAATCAGCCTAGGCCTCTGTTGTGAACTGCCTGTCCTTCGCTGACTCCAGAATTCCTCAAATGTTCAAAGCATTTATTGAAACTGAAGATGAGTTGCAGCAGCTTGATATCACTAGAAGCCCATCCTCTAAAATCCCGTCTCTTTAGCAGACTTCCATATTTTGAACTACAGAATTAAATTACTACTCTAGTGTATCTGTCAGATGCAGTATATTTATTAAGATTGGATATCATTCAAACCAACTTTTTAATGTGGCTGAAATTGCGTTTATAAGAAGCGACTGGCAGAAGTTGGGCTGCTCTGGCTTCCCTCTGGGTCATGGAGAGGGAACGATGGAAAAATCCCCCTTGTCCTTAGTTTCATTATAGGCTAATGGATCTTGCAGGGCCTTAGATTCTTACAGAGTGGTTACAGTGTCACGCATCCCAAACCAATACCACCAGAAAGCATTCAGAAGTTTTTGTTAAATGTCTGTGATATAGATAACGCAGTCAAAGCCATCAAGAGTTTATAGGTCAATGTGCTGTTTTTATCATTATTTTTTGCTATACTCTTCCACGTAAAAATACTTTTTTTTAGCAAAACCTCCAAATAAATTTGAGGGTTATTTATGGATCAGGTTGGAGGTCAATGACGTTTGCTGTCACTGATGTTAGAGCTGGCACACCACATCTCTGACACATGGCAAGTGTAAATATGTTGTCAGCAAATAGCTGCTTTTGGTGTGTTTTCCACACAAAGCTATTGTATGGTTTTAGAAGACTTTGAATAAATCCTGCAATCCTGCAAGTCGTATTTTTTTTAATTTTACTGTACTTTATTGTTCTTTTTTAAAGCAACTGTAAATTGTCATCCACTTTTGTTCTATAAAACAGAGACTGGACGTTCTGCCAAATCCCTTTTTCTGTCGTCATAAGGTGTTTGAAATGACGTAATTTTCATTTTTAGAGAACAAAATTTTGGTGAGCTAAAAAGAAAAAAATAAAGAAAAAAATAATGGTGCTACAAGAATTTTACAGTTGAAATCAGGCCTCAAAACATTGAAATGTACATTCTAAAGACTGTTTAATACTTTGCAGCTTTGAATAGAAAAGAGTATACTATATATTGCAAAAAAATAAGCTCTGATATTGTCAGTAAAAACATTTTCATATATTTAATATTTCATATATACTGTATTTTCATAACACTATTTCATATACTGTAAATGCTGTTCTTTTAAAAATTTTATTCATCAAAAAGTGAGGAAAAAAATATATTAAGCAGCACAACTGTTTTCAACATGGATAATAGTAAGTAATGATTCTTGAGCAGCAAATCAGCATATTAGAATGATTTCTGAAGGACCATGTGACACTGAAGACTGGAGTAATAATGCTGAAAATTCAGCTTTGCATCACAGGAATAAATTACATTTTAAAATGTATTCAAATAGAAAAATCTCAAATTTAATTTGTGTTTTTGATCCAATAAATGCCGTATTGGTGAGCATAACCTAAATAAAAAAAACACGGACCCTACACTTTTTAAATATAAATTCTTCATTTAAGTATTTTATTAATGATTGTTATAAAGAAACATTTATTATTCCATGCAGTATCTGAGCGTATGTAAATCTTTTAGCGCTTTTGGTTTTTTTCACAGGGCTGCTGTGCTTCCTGAACAATGCTCTACTATGAAAATTGCTCTGTGCCATCAATATTGTGAGGTTCCCCTCCATCCTCTCGCCTCTCTCTCCCCTGGGTCCATTCATTCAGCCGGTAACCCCCGCACACTGTAACAGAGTCAATAGAGAGCTGCTCGCGGTCTCGGGTAGGCTGGTTTATCTTGGCTTCGCTCCTGTTGGAGATCCGGTCCGTGGAGAGCCACGCTGAACCTGGACCAAAGGGTTCAAACTTTTATATGCATTGAGCTGTCTGAAAAGATCTTTATAAGCCTGGTGCTACACCTCTCAGGGGTATCTATTGTTTAATTGATTAAGGTCATTGAGATAATAGTCTTGATAGTAAGAAAGCCACAAAGCTGAAATAACTGGCTTTAACCATTTTGAAAATCGACTGATCAATACATTTATTTATTTCTGTAATAGTGTGGCAGGGAAAATCAATCAGTATTCAGTCTTTCAACCTTAAAGGGATGGGTCAAAAAAAAAAAAAAAAGTCATCATTTACACAGCCGGTATGACTTCTGTAGAACACAAAAGAAGTTATTCTGAAGAACTGTTGTTTTTTTGTCCATATAATGAAAGTCAATGGGGTCCAAAACAACAATGGACTCGATTGTGTTTGGTTTTTGAGACCTTTTTCAAAATATCTTCTTTTGTGTTCTGCGGAAAAAAATAAAGTCATACAGGCTTGGAATGACATGAGGATGAGTAAATTTTGACAGAGGTTTTA